CCTCTCTTCTGCTTGTTCTCCCAGCCATGTGGATCATGCGTGTCATTCAGACCTGCTGTTTGGGCAGGCCTTTTAATTCAGGCTTCATATTAGGTCTACTTTTTTGTGACTTGCATGTGCTTTCTATTTCACACCTTTACCCTCTCTGTCTGCCCACACAGCTAATTGTTTTGTCCACTCTCTCACCATTTCAGATGCCAGCTACTGCAGTGCTTTTCTCCAGCCCTGGCAATTTACCTACCCTAATCCCTTCCAGGATACTGTAGGAAAGGTAAGTTTCATAACCTTTCAATTTGGCTGTGTCATCTTTCTCTATACATCGGTAAAAAGCTATACTCTCTTTTATCCAGTTGTACGTAATTAATCTTTATTTTCTAGTATTTTAGCAGTTGTTCCTTATCACATTCAAGACGGAAGGATCAGCTCCTGCTGCTCATCATACTTGCCCCATCATCCACTTGATATACTTTTAGTAAGCACCTCATGTTTTTTCCTCATTGTCTCTAATGCTTGAAAAGAGCTCTCCAGAGACATTCACAAAACTATCTTACTTTCTTTCTTCAAATATCCCTTTTACACTCTCTGTTGTCAAGATGTCCCCTACCCAGTATTATAACTATCTCCTGTCATGTGGAACATTTCTTAATTCTCCTGTTTTTCCTTCTCTGGAGTCATATGTCATCTCATGATTTAGGCTCTGTGTGCTTGGAACAGAGGTTGTATTTTTCTTCTGTACTTCAACAGTGTGTAGCACAGTGAAATCCTGCTCTGTGATTACAATTGCTGTGTATTCATATGATAACACAAAACTATCGTGACTACCAGAATGAATGCTTAGGATTGATATTTAGAAAAATGTTAAGCAAGGTTAAGATTTAGAGCAGTCTTAAGCAGATTTCCTGCAATAAAAATTACGAATGCTCACACGTTAGATCTAAGAGGGCTTTTTTTTTTTTTTTTTTTGTCCCTGATATCATCAGGGAGCCGGAATTGGAAATAATGTCGGGGAACTGTACATAAGGGATCCTTAAAGATTGCAACAGGGAAGCTTGATCCGTGCTTTCTCTTTACTAACATATATTGCCAAGAAACAACACAATTATGTTTTCCCTATAGGTCAACCATATGCCAAGGTTTAGTTTTACAAGGTTTAATGAAGGTAAAATCTGATGCTACAGCTATTTCTGCCAAAAAAAGATTTATTGATTTACTGTGCTGCAGTGCTCCAAAAGCTAATGCAGTTTAATGCACTGAGGAACTCTTTAAAGTAGACATGGGATAATCCATGATGGATATCTGTCTTCACAGTCATTTAAGTTACACTGAACCCACTCATGATCTCAGCAGACTGAAGCCCTTGGTGTGACTATTACCATTGCTCATAAAGTATATAAGCACAGTGACATCAAGAGGTATGATGTATCCTTAATGAGCTAATTCTTGATGGTGGGATGATTGAGAACAGCCCCTGTGTTCCAGATTGCCCAGAGGAAAGGTGACTTCTGTTCAACTGAAGATACACCTCTGAAGTAAAAATATTTGTTGAAAATTCCCATCTGCAATATAGCTTTTCTTCATGCCCAAGATCTGAAGAACTAGATGATAATTTAGTACTATTCTGTGTTGGATGAGCTGACTGCTTTGGTTCTGTTGGGCCTCTCAAATACCTGTTGAGATGTTTAATTTCTAAGTGATGCTTTGGTGATTGTTTAATATTGGTGGCGGGTCTGAAAACATCTTTTGGAAAGCTGAAGCTGTTAACTTATCTAATAACTATCTTATAAATTGCCAGGTATAAGGTATCTTATAAATTGCCAAACAAGAGAGCAGAAGGCACTGAGTTTGCAACAATGCTTAGGATTAATCCTGCTTTCAGGTTTATCCACTGAATACACAAGTCACGATATTTCAGTATGTTAATGATACACAACTATGTGTGTAATAAATGTGTACATATACCTGTAGTTATATGGGAATCAATCTGTGCTTTTCAGTTTTCTTCTTACCCTAGAAGAATATTTAGACAATACTAAAAAGATGGGCATTTATTGTACCAGGGGAAAGGAAGGTGGATATAAAGAAACTTTCCTTTTTATTCACAACTTGCATACTAAAAGTGGTCAAAAAGGACAAAGTGGGCAAACAATAACAGAGACTGATTTTCATGTCGGGAGCCAGAATGTAACACAAGCAAAAGTCACTGCAGAGAAGCCACTTAGTAATACCTTGTTTCTCCATGAAGCAGCGACTCCTGACTTGTGCGGCTTCTTCGTGAAGGCAGAGAGCAGCTAACAAGCAGAGGAACAAACTGGCATGGGGAAAAAGAGTTTTTTTCTCAGAGGACTTTACTTTCTGTGAGGGACAGCATTTTGGCTGAAGACTAACCTGAGCAGAAAGCTGGAAACCAGGAATAGGGTCATGCTTTTTGAGAGGCACGACTTCCAGATCCATTAAAGTGGGAACTTAGTGGGAGCCAGGAGAGAAAAAGGTCTTTATAACATCCTTTCCTTAGCTGTTTCTAAACAGCTGCTTTTGCTGAATTCTAAAAGGCACTCACATGAGTGAAGGAATGGTGGCACCTGATGTATAAAGGCAGTAGTATGGCTATATTGGCCCATACCACCCCAGACTGAACACTACAGATTTTGATTCTCTTTTTGGATCACCTTTGCTTCATGCATGTTCACATGTGTGTGTATGTACAGGCATGTACACATGTAAGTTTTTGTAGCAAAGGAAGAAAGTGAATTGCCATAGAGTGCTCTGTGCTTACCTTAATATATATGAGCACAGTTTTACAGGCATAAGTTATCTATAGGTACTGCAGCATTAGCAGGTTAAAAGAAAGTATTTTTTCCTGAGATTTTCTGCCATTCTTGTGTAGGTGAGAAGGGGTTCAAGCATATTCAGCAAATCTCAAACTCATTTTTTTGCTAATGAAGAAAGAAGGAATATTGTGTTTCTCATAATGCAAATTACATGGATTTTGCAATACAAAATGTCACTCATTTACATTAAAAGTTCAAAGGAATTGTGGTAAAATGTATAAGTCTAGAATATTATCTGATAAAACCAGAGCCAATTGTGCTGAAACGTTTCCGGACACAATATGGCAGCAGAGGTACGTGACCCCTCCACAATACAGCAACCTATGACAGTTATTCACGTGGAACAGGAAAAGGGAAAGCTCTCCTTATCCACGTCGATTGTCGATCAATATGCACATTTATCAGCCTACACAAAGAGGATTAAAAAAAAATAAATCCAAATTATCTTTTTTAATACTGCCACAAATGAAAGTAAAGATGGTTTTGATACTGCTGAGATATCACTCAACAAAAGATTTTTCTCTGAAATAATTCAAACAGGGAATATAACAAGGAATCTTACATTTTCTATTGTTTATTATAGTCAAAGCCAAACTCTAGTCTAAATCAATTTAAAAAATATTATGCTGTAGTCGCATGCATAACAATGAGTCAAGTTAGTGCGCTGCATCATTTGGTATGCAGAACAAGTTCACTGAAGCTGAGAGTGAACCTTGCTTAAATACGACAACATCATGACTGAAAGCAAAAAAACTGCCGAGAACATAGACAATGAGCTAAGCAAAGGGGGAAAAAGGGAAGGCAAGTAGGGTCCTGGTACAGGAGAAAGAAGAATAGATCTATAGAATTAAAAGTATATTTTACCTGTCATCCTCTTTCCTTTCCTCAGCTTGGTCTTCTTGAGCTTTTTCATCATGCCCTGATCCTTTGATTTCCTCCTTATCACAGTTCTCTGTCACCTCTTGCCCTTCCCCTTTTTCATTAATTTCTCGCTCCTTTGCTTTTTCCTCCTCCTCCTCTTTTTCTTCCTCCTCAGGAAATATTCCATCTTGTTCATCCCCTTCCAGCCCTCCCTCTTTTTTTCCCTCTATATCCCTTGTCCTTCTGAAGTCAACAAAAATTGAAAAAGGCATGCAAAAAGAAAAAAAAAAGAAAAGAATAAATTAAGGTTAGGGTCATGGAGAAGAACATGCATGAACTCACAAGAAAGGAAATGCAAAAGAAACGGAATAAAAACTAAAAGAGGGAAGCAGCTGTAAGTTAAACCATGCTGGCTAAGACTCCAGTCTACACTAGAGAACCTTGGGACATTTCCTTAGGACAGTCTCTAAGTCCCTCTTCGAATAAAAGTTGCATGGCAATACATCACATTTAGAAATGTATACATAACTGCATGACAGAAACAATGTGGTCCTAACAATGTCCATATAAACAGATGTTTAAACAATCTTTTCAAATGCACCATTTCTCTCAAGTCCTCTTGAGAGAGTCCTCTTGAGAGAATTCAGAGAATTAATATAGGCTGACATTGAATTTTGCTGAGAGATGCGGGTGGGTTACACCTTCCAAGAAAAATGATCTTTCATTCCTTCTACAGCCAAAGCTCCTCTGAGTGTGCACAGGGCGCAGGCAAAGGAGATGCTGTGCTGTGCTCACGGATACACTGTGTACAGCTCGTTGAAGAGTAATGCAATGGTTGTACACCTACCGTTAAATTGGACTAGTGTATTAAAGAAATTGAATTGGTCTGTGTAAGTATTAAACAAGACTTCTATAAAAGTTCGGCAGCTCTAGTTTATAAGGAAATTAAGATACCTCTGACATCATTGCCAGCACAAATTTTCAAATTAAACTGTCTTTTCAGCCATATTAAGTATTTTACAAAATGGTTTTCAGAAAGTGCAAATCTAAGCATGCCTAGTGCTTGCTGACAGCATATGTGTGTTATTTTAGTGTATATTAGTATAACCTAAGATGAAAAACTTGGCTAAAAACAAATACCATGAAGACTTCAAAAAGCATTAGACGAAGAAGACAATTAAATTACTATATTTTGCAAATTCCCTGCAAATTTCAACATAGGTAAATATTAATTTGAAATATCATTATTGATAAATGTTCAGTTACACAAATTACACTGCTATGGCTGGCATTACAGCTCCTCATGCTCACCTTATTTTCTTGTTTCCTCTTGGTCGCTCTGACTGGACAGACATGTAACTTGTGCTGCTGAAACGTGAAGCACTGCTTGTCCGTGACACAGCTGATACATCACTGACATCGCTGTCTGAAGACTTATTGGAAACATTGTCTGAGCCTCGCTGAGGATCCCGTCCTGACCGATACTGTAAGAGGAAAGGGACAAAGATGCAGATGTTGTCAGTGACATTACCACAGATCAGCTACGGATCTGGTCCCTGATGCTATCTAAACTGCCTTTGTCACCAGACTGCCTGAATTTTCATAATGAAATTTTTAACTGGTACAGAATACGAGTTATGTCTTGGTTTCTATTAATTTTACTCTGCTTTGCTATCCCATTCAAGCTATTAGGTCCTCAGCTTCATCTATGGAGTGACTGGTACAAAATTTCCAACTCTTCCAAGGGTTTCACAAACCCTAGCAAAGACATCTAAACCATCACAGAATATTCTTACCACAACTGTTTCACCAGTACAGGAAAGCAAAGCGGAGAGAGTTAGTGACTTGCCCATGATTACTGAGCTCATGAAAGATTGAACAGAGACAGAATGTGCTTCATGCTATCTATAAAATATATATTTCTTTTGGGGCCTAGCCTATTTACAAGAACTTCTGGTTGACAAATGTTAACAATTATTTTTTTATTATTTTTATTTTAGTAAATAGGTAGATGAGATTATCAAACCAAAAGACAAAGCGATGTTGTAGCTGTGCAAACAAACCCCGCATCTTGCTGAACTGCTGGGCTGGGAAGTTTGAAAGGATGGGACGGGACTAGAGATAATTTGTACCAACAGTGTACAAGTGCCTCAGACATTAAAAAATTACAATAGTATTTGAACTTGTTAATAGTATAGTCCAAACATGGAACTGGCAGGTGACTGGTGGTCAGCAGTAAGCCCATACAATGTAAAGCAGTATTGTGCAGAGCTGTTCAAGTTAGATTTGAACAAAATATTATGGTTACTTGTTCTTGTTACACAAGTTAGCTCTAAAGTAATGCTAAGTCTCTGCCACTCTGCATTGCACTATGTGCAGATATAATAAATAGCAGAAAGGTATTTTTTCCCTCTCCATATACAGACATTTCTGTTTATGCAGAAATCTGATGGGCTACTATTGATAATCTTTTCAGAAAAACAGTACTGCAAGATGAATTGTCAGTGATGGCCAGGTAATTGTTGGGCTGACACGGAAAGAAGACAGTGTGGAAAGATGTGAAGAGAAGCACAGGCAGGACTGAAAGAAAACAATGGGAGAAAATAATCTGCATAATACATCGGTGGCTTGTTGAACTCTTAGGGGTAGCTACATTGAACTCAGCCACCTGGAGAAGGCAATTCATAATGTAAAGTGTCAGACCTGTGTAGTCCTGCAGAAGAGAAGGGTGTCCAGGTTTGGCTATCAAATTTGTCCCTTTTTTATAGTTTTAGAATTACCGTCTTTCATGAAGTACACAGATCATTTGCTTCAGTACTCTTGCAAGGAATGCTACAGTGCGAAATATTCTGAAAGACTGTGGAGTGTCTAAATAGCGTTTCAGAATAGCACCTGAGTGCCTATTTACCACAAATTAATTTTAGTCTTAAAAATAGTAAGTTGCTTTGCCCATTTTAAGACAGGGAAATAAAATAAAGACAAGAAAAAAACGTTCATGCAGGTTACACTGTACACCTGCAGCACAGTCTGAGCTGCACACTTACCTACAACGGCTGCATAGGCTGCTGCTGCCTTCCTGACCTGCCCTACTTTACAGTATCTGTTTTCATTGACACACCACTCAAGCCCTCCCCAGCCTTTAAGTGTGAGAGGGCACTTAGCCAGCCATAAACTCACAGAGTATCTCTGTGATTACCACTTTTAAATGTTGTAATATTTACTGACTGTTTTTATTGATGCCATTAATATTTTTGCTTGATAAAGAAGACACTGTGTCTTATTATTGATATATTCGTTTCGGAACATAAAAACAATGATTAAACAGCTGTCCTCATCATCAGAGATAATGGAACATTATACCAGAATAAAAGGATTGTTCTTTTGCAGCAATGCCTTTTAAAAGAGCAACTACTTAGCCCTTTGGAGAAGAAAAAAATAACTGTGCCTAGTGAAATCTTTATATATCGAGTCTTATCTATTCAGTTCCACCCACCTCACCCTCGCTAGAATAATTCTGCATTGAAGACAAAGTTATGAGTGTAGTTTGTGTTGATTTAGCCTAAAACTACCAAGATTGGGAAGTACAGCCTGGTGTACTGGGCTACCACCACGCACTATAGAAAAGGCAACGCAGAGCTGCCCTCAAGCCCTCAGCGTTTGCCGGGGATCCCAAGCAGATGCACCAACCACGCCGAGCCTGAGCTACTGGCTCCCAACAGAGCTAATGTACAGCCAGACCATGCGTGCCTATATGAACAGCTGTCGTATTGACAGTGGCTGGTGACCTCAGGGTAGCCACACCGCTAGCGTTACAGACCTAACGTGGCTGTCCTCTGGGGAAATGAGATAGACCGCACTGTCAGATGTAAATCATTGGTGGAATTGTTAATTACATTCCAATTAAGGGATAGATAATTACTTGTGGTGATTCATAGAATAACAGACCTCAACCTGCAGAGCCCACACTGAGCTTGCCAAGCAGTCCGTGGAAGTGAGCCCTTCTAAATTAAATGCATGCAAGCAACATGAAGCAGCAAACGGTATCAGCACTGCGCAAAGTTACTGCAAAGAGTCATTCTGCAGCACACTCAAAGTTTCAAAAACCTATGGTTTTGATTTTGTCTGCTTCATTTCCACACCTGGAGAACATCGGTTCTTAAAATACATTTTTCATAGCAATGTGCTGTATATAATAAATCCAGACATTTTCATAAATAAAACAATCTTATTGTATTTTTTTTAAGGCTAATGCAATAGTAATAATCTAGTGATATATGGCAAAGACTGAGAATTGCTATGGCAAGAAAAGCAACTTAAAGGTAAATTATTTTTGAAATATAATGTGAAAAACAGATCATCAGATCATTACCTTGTCTCTTTTTTCTCAGTTGTATGTAAAGGTACTTCCCATCAAATGTTTTCAGTTGGGTCAGATGGCACAGAAATATTATTTGACCCTTTATTTCAGAAGGGTTTAGATTTAAAATCGGGAAAGTGAATTGATCCTTTCATTAAATCTGAATGTCTTTATATATAATATTTGTTTTTAAAAGTTTTATTTACACATTGTCTGAGTTAGTTAGTTACACTCTAGGCATCTGCTGGTTCCCTAACAAAGAAACATCTAGAAACTGAAACTAAATTGTCTTTCTTGCTGGACAAAGCTCAGATACCTCATATTCATGCATTAACTCTGCTCCAAATTGCTCTTCATTCTGATACTAAGGTCTACTTTTGACCTTATAGCTGACTGACTTAATTTTGTTTGGGAAATGGATTATAATAGTAAGGGTTTACTTATATACTTATAATTATATTATAATTATAGTAGCATGTTAGTGTTTCAGTAACTGCAGCACAGCCAACAAAGGAAACATACTGCTTGTCTGACAGAAGCTGTGCTGGCATTTCAGTTTTACATTTGTTTCTTACACTGCAGTTCTATATAAGGCAGTTTCTGAAGTGTTCCTTTGCTCTCTGCCTCTAAAGTATAACGGCACTTCCATTGTGTGAATATTGATTTTTAAAAAGTATTTGGTTCTTTCATGTCATGTGTTCTGACTGTAAAACACAACCATTTTTGCACAATTTTGCACTATTCTGTCTTCATTTTTTGTGTGGCTAAAGTTACCCAAGGCATTACATCTTCATATATTTCATATACTTCCTTGTTTTCATCATCCAAATTTCACTTTCTTTTTTTTCTAAATGTCACCAACTGTATGATAAGATCAACTCTTGGACTGAAAAGGTCATTATTAACCAAGTGCGGTCCACCCATTGTATCTGAAACACCGCTACCGTGTCCCGTCCATCCCACTGCTGTCCCTGCGTACCATGCTGCAGGAGTTTGCGCTGTCTGAATGCACCCTGCTGGGTAACTGCAGCCCGGATCCTGGCTGTAGCATGGCCACAGGTTTGCATCTTCAGACCCAGCTACTACCCTGGGTGGTCCAATTGCCCTCAGAAGAAAACACGGGCATGAGGACAGTAAGGGAGCCTCATGTGCACTGATAGCTCCTCTGGTTTGGACAAGCAGGAGGTCCAGGCTGTGGTGAAGAGCATCTGCCTACTATGCAGGTTAATTAAATACTGTTTCTTTCTTTTTTTTTTTTTCTTTTTTTCTTTTTTTCTTTTTTAAGTAACAGCCATGACAGTAGGAAAATTATCTCCTGGCTTTCTCAATGCTGGAAATACAAGTCTCTCATATCGTAGTAAGGTTAAAACCCAATCAAGACTCATAATATAGGCAGCATTCCGGACTTTATGACCCATAAAGCCATAAGAGTACCCAGCCTGTTCAAGCTGTTTCAACAATAGGAAGTCTGCTGCAAGCAGAGGGGTTGATTAAAAGTTGCTTTTGCACTTTTAATAGTAAGATGATTTTGTCCTATTTTGCTGTGTTGAAGAAGGGGATAAATTTCATGATTACAGATTCTATCAAATAAGGTTTAAAGTTTCTAAAAGCCCTTACCTCTGTGTTAGTAACATAATCAGGAGACCCTAACAAAGTGATAGGTGTTTGTGCCGATACCTTGTAACTGAAATACTTTCCTGTAGTGACAAATTCAAGATTATTAAAGCTGAACAACAAATACCTGTTCTGCTTCCTCATACAACCACCTGTGCAAATATTTTGACCTGTTTGTGAACTGCCACTATATGACTGACAGGCCACGTAGAGCTACAACTGCTCTGAAACTTATTTCTCAGAAGAAACTGTTTTGGAACTTCTAAATCAAAGGGAGTTTTAAAGTGTTTCATATTGCTTTAATCTATTGTTACCATTCTTCCATCTTGGACTATACAGTCATGCAGTTGTCCAGGCAATTGAAATTGTCAGTGATTTCCAACTGTCTTTCTATTTTATTATCTTTTTTTTTTCTTCCCTGTTTTTATAGTCTATTCATCAGCTTTTATTTGCTAGCATTTACATAGGAACATGCAAATCTGGTCAATGTTTTTACTGATCAAAATGTTGGGA